AGGCAACAACTCCCTGAACTTGTTGACCATTTCCCTGGTTGGATAACTCAGTTTGCCCATTACCCACTTCACCCCAGCGCAGTGGGTGACAAGTTCAGGACCTGCCCAAAGCAGGTCCCTCGGGCTGGCCAAGTGGACGTATGCCCTTGGTTGTAGCTGTGCGTGGTGACAACCAGCCTGGCCTTGCTCACTCTCAGGAGGAAGGACTGACAGGCTTTCCCCGTCCATCTGCTGCACACAGGTTTTACATGCTTCTCCCACATTGGTCCTAGCTCAGGGCTCTCCCTCCCAGCACATACCACTCCCATTATTCATATCTCCTTCACAAAAACCTGTTTGGTTCAAGCCGTAGGAGGCTTCTCTGTGAAAGTGACATTATACAGTTGAGTGTGATTCAATCAGTAGAGATGGAATTGATATAATATCAAGTTTGAAGTAACTTAGTATCATGTAATTTTGCTGTCCTAAACTAGCTCTCCTAGTCCATTTAACTTTAATTCAGATTTCCCCCATGGCATGCCACCATGTGTCATCCCTTCCTGCATCTCACCAGCTTAGTGGCTGTTTGTGCAGATCACGAGCTTTTAAAGAAGACCTTTAAGATTTTCTTAATATAGTCTGACTTCAGATCACCCACAAAATGTCTTCAGATATTAAAACCATTTTCTGTCTGACTCAGACACAAGCTAGTTTTAAGTGACAGTTCACCCGGGGAGAATTGTATTATTTAATTACAACTCCTCCTTCCCTAAGTGGCTGTATTTCCACCCTGTGGGTGGTTTAGAACTATGTTCTTCTTCATTTAAAAACTATGGTTTTGGTCATATTCAAGAGTTACTGGTGAACACCATTTATAATATCTTAACACAAAACCACTTCTAACTGCTCCTCCTTCATATTTATCTATATTGGAAAAAAAGTTTTCAAAGTGTTATAGCCATGCTGCAGTACTCATTACTGTTTAGCCAACTGAGCTACAAATACCCAGCTGTTTCACCAGCCATATATCAGGGTGTAATTCGGCATCACCATGTATCCAGTGGCAATGGTTCTTTGATGGTTTAAGCAGCTCTCAAACACCTTCCTCAAAGCTTACTTGCAGGGCTGCATTATAAACCAAGCCAGTGAAATGTTTTGTGTCAATCTCCAGTCTCACAATGTAGTACTTATTTATTACCTGTTTAAACCACTTACTGACACAGGTCACCTGTACTAGAAAGTTTCCCTGCCACAAGTGTGATGTTAGCAGAAGGTATCAGAGGACAGAAATAATATAAATTATAACAGGGAGATGGAGTTATACTCTTAATTGTTTCTTCCTTGTTCTCTTCCTCTTCCTTTATTTTATTGCTTCCATTTTTGTGTAAAGATTTCAAAACCAAAAAAGGAAAAAAAAAAAAAAGCTGTCAATCCCCCATCTCCCCCAAAACACTCCACATGAAGAAGCACCAAGCTAAGAAAACACAGCATAACAGACACTCTTGCAGAGAACGTATCCAAGTTTGAGCTCCTAACAGAGATATTTTCAGATACTGGGTAATAGCTCTAGGTCCCAAAGATAACTCTAGCTTCTAGTCCTGTGAGCATCATGCTCCTTTATTAATATTGTCCCAAAGGTCTGTGGGTCAAATTATTTAAATTACACTGCACTAAAGAATATTCTCCCATCTATATAAATAATTCCAACTCATTAAACAGTCCTTTACCTGGTTTCATTTTAGGTGACATAGAAACACTGGGAGTGCTTGTTAAAAAAAAAAAAAAAAATTAAAAAGAAAGTAGCATAATTTCTTCCTTCTTCCCTTTTTCCTCTCAACTTTACTCTGAGACAGTGGGTTAGGTTCTGATTTCATTTGTTCTACCCCAAAGCATAGATGTGTCTACAAGTTAGTAAGTACTTGATTAGGTGTGATTTCAGAGTACTTTATCTTTTCTCCATCGGATCCCCGTGGTCATTCCTAGAGAGCAGCATAGCATACTTTTGTGTCAGCTCACTGCCAAAACTGACAAAGCACACTGTGTTAGGAATGTGTTAAGAGCTCCTACAAAGCGAGCTGCAGCTGGTTACAATGCAACTCCTCACAGATTCATCCCCTGGTTTAGCCAGGTAGGAAGAGAACAGTCCCTCCACTGTGCATCTCTGCCAGAAAACACCACTTCTGAACCCAGAACTTGCCAGATGAAAATCCCAGCTGAGCTTAATTTAGGAACCTCCCCTCTAGACCAGATTTCTCAAAATACTGTGAGAAAGTACATACATGTATTACAATAAATTGAGGTGAGGTCTGAGAACCTGAAGTCTGAAGGCTGCTCAGAGCCACAGCTTCATTCCACATGGACCACAGATTTTCTCTTCCTCACACATGCATGTGCCAACAAGGTGACTGAGCAAGAATGACCAAGTGGCCACTACCACTCGTCACAATTACAAAGAATTTCCACTTATGTTATAAAACTAATGTGGCCCACTGCATTGCCAAAGGGGAAATATTATCACAGCAAAGTCCTCACAGCAACAATACTGCAAATTACAGGGACCCTGAGTCTACTAGGGAAGCCTCACAAAATCCACCAACATTGGTAGTCTCAGTGTCAGGACTTTTTTTCCCTCCCTGTTGCTGATTTTCCCTTTTTTCTCCCCCCATCTTTGCTATTTCTAACTCCTCTCAGTAATAAGAGTAACAGAATCCATTCAAATGGGATCCAGACAAAAAGATGCACTGAGGCTGGGCTCTCACATTGGCAACATAAAAAAGATGAACACAAGAAGCTGGAATTAGCTTTCATAAATGGAGGCAGTTCGCAGTACAACAGCAATCTTCAAGAAACTTTTCACTAGACATGTTGGAGGTGTACCTTTTTTATTGTTTAGGAATTCAAAACCAATTTTCCTTCAAGCAAAGACACTGCTTTTCACTGAGTGATAATGTCAATGCTACTTCAAACATTTCAATTTTCAGCTTTTTTTGGTGTCTTATGACTTAAGTGTAAGAATTCTGAGACAGAAGTGGGTAGATGTTTTTGCCCACATTTTCACATTCAAATTAATTCAAATTAATTTTAAATTTTCCCTTTTTTTTAAAGGCAAGTGAACATTAGAGAGTACACTGTCTCATAGATCAGCTCCCCACACTGTTTTTCAGGGTATATCTGTTCAATTTTTTCTATGCTTCAGCTATGAAAAAACATGACTGAAAGCAGAAATTTCTCATTTAATTTTGAGACTTGTAAGGGAAACATCTATAAGGATTGGAGCTAAGGTTCCTTCGTAGTCCCTGAAGAGGAACAGCAGTAAGGTAAGATTCAACACCAAGATTTTATATGCTTCCCTAGGATGAGATGCATTCCACTTGGAACGTACTGCTTCCTCCTGCATGTACTACACTGTGTACTACAGATTGTTCAAATCCCTGCCTCTTTCAATATGTAGTCTTCCCTGACTGCCTACAACCAGCCCATTTAAATTTTAAGGTTTTTGAAGCAAGGACTGTCTTCCTTCACTTACATGTGCAACAAATAGGTAAACAGGATCACACCAGCATGACTGTGGCCTTTATTTGCTGCCAAAGTATGAAACATCAAGATCAGTAGTAATGCTAATACTCTAAACAAATTAGCAATTAGAATTCATGAAAAAAACCCAAATTATTTAAATAAGAATAATACTGAAAGGCTATGGTGAAATTAAAAAAAAAAAACCAACCAAAAAACACATAAAACCAGCCATTGCAAGCAACATGACTCTATAAGGCCAGATACAGAGAGCAACCAAAAAGAAAGCTTTGTCCAGCTTACAAAGTCTCTCCTTGTTGTGGTTATGGACTCTAATCTGTTACAGCAGCAATAAATTGTGTTTATGGCTTTTAGCTTTTACAAAGAAGGTGAAAGAGGGACAAATATGATGTTGTCTCCAGTCCTTAACTAAAAAAAAATTTACAAACTGGGTGGGGGGGACCAAAAAAGGGCCTTTTGACAGAGGTGAGGACAAGTGATCATCTGTAGCTAGTAAAGGTTCCTGATCCCAAATTTCTCAAACCTGGGCTACATTGCCATTCCAGGTGACCCTATCTTTCCTAAGCTACTCTTTGCTTCAGAATGTGCAAAGGAAGAGAGCCATCACCTCTCAGTCAAGCTATACATTAAATACTGCAGGCAGAACCTGGCTGTTTGGATGTTCTTACTAGGAGCTTCACAAAGTATGTGTTCCCCTTGGCCTCAGTCATTATAGCTACTGGGCTGGGCACAGCATGAGAAAAAAAAGGGTGAATTCACCTAAACAAACAAACAAACAAATAAATAAATAAGCTTTCAAGCAGGAAGGTTGTCCTTGGTGAACTAGGTGTAGGTGACTTTGTAGTGAAGAGGATTCAGAATTTCTTCAAGCCATCAGAAGTAGAAAATAAAGGGTAACAGTGCAGTGCAAGTCAGACTGCTGCACTTGCATAGAGAGAAATGCAGCAATCAAAATTAACCTGAAATTTGTAAAGCACTGTTACAACAGCCCCTCAGACCACCAAGAATCAAAACCGGAAACACCTTATATTCTGTTCACTAAGTAAAAATATAATTAACCAAATTATATATGTCTCAACCCTTACTGCAGCACCTACTTTTTTTCCTAGATAAAACTACTGATGCAGTTTAATGATAGCTTTGCTAGTTCGTTTAGCATGCACAATTTTCACCTAAACATGACATTATTTCACCTGTATTCAGCCTGACCTCCCTCTCCAGTCTAATAGCAATATCTTCAAAATAATATTATATTCCTCTGCAGGCTCCCTCTAATTTAATAAAACCTTCTCAAGTAAAACTAATCAATGGGTGATTGATGTAGTTGTATAGACACAGCTTTAACAAAATTACTAAGCTACATGTAAAAGCCACATTTGCACAGAAGGGTTTCCTTTCAAAAACAAACAAATAAATGCTGAAAACATAATTTCAATAAATTCTTGCAAAGAAAAAATAAAGAGGGAATAGCAAAGTAAGGTCATTACCTATCTCCCTTTGGTTTTCTTTTTTGTACTGTCTTCCCTTTGGGTCGTCTTTCACTTCCTAAACAGGGGCTCCCACCAGGGCCTGTTACCCGTATTGATTCAAGGCCTTTGGAAGATTTCTTAAAAGTAAATTCCACAGGTTCTCCTTCTTTTAGGCTTCTAAATCCTTCCATGTAAAGCTTGCTCTGTAAATAGGAAAAATACTCTTGGTTACCATTGCCTTAAAAACAGGATTTACATTTATAATCAATGGGACAAATGACCCCATCTACCATCCAACAACACATATAAGTAGAGTAACAGTTTCCTCTGCATGAGCTATAGCAGATGATACTACAAATTAGAGTCCTGGATACACTGAAAACCCCATTCAACACTAAACGAGTAAAAAGAACCTATTTTCAGTATCAGCAAAACTGAAATAACATTTTTATTTTCCGTGATGAATGCTATAGAAGAAGCAGAAGAAATGCTGTATTCTTAAAACCCTTACAAATTCTTAACAGGTCTCAGGAAGTGAAAAAGTCTGGAAAGAGAGCAAATGTTCACTTTGGAGCAAATTAATTTATGATGAAAGTCTTAATAATTTGCATTCTTTATATCTGAGACATAGATCTCCTGCTCTGAAAATGAATCAAATATACAACAAGCATGAGAGGCACTCTGAACAAAGTGCTGACATGGGCAAGTCAAATATCCCTAATGAGCTACTGAATTTCTGTTGACTACACCAAAAATCTTATCTACCTAGCAGGATTTATGTATGGGTTTATATTTTCATTCACAGAAAAGGAAATTTTTATCATCAGGGCAAGTGAAATAAATACTGATAAATATTTTAATATCACACAGCAGTAGAAAAATATTGGACAAGCTGAAGTCAACAGGAGCTTACCAGTGATTCTGATCCAATGAAAATTTTCATCACAATTCCAGATAAAATTATGTACAATAGTAAGTAAGCACTCAAGGATAAATCTGATTAATCAAACTCTTAAATAAAATTATTATCAAGTTAAATGACAGGGAGGCTTTTGGGGATAGTGGAGATAAAGTGATTGCACTACACTTTTATTTTAGAAATTACATGGTATGAATGAGATCAGTTGGACTCACAGAGAATATCACAAAATACCTCAATTTACACACATTTAGAGGTCCTTCAAGAGAGTTGTAACATGTATTTTCTTCCTTTCCTCATGAATTCCTCAGAGGAAAGAGAAAAAAAAATGTATCCTGACTGATTCTCAGTCCATTTTCTAGCATTCACTTGGCTGAACCACAGAGTCAAGAAGGAAATCTTCACTGCAGGTGCCATCCCAAATCAGTCACATGTCAAAAAAAAGCCAAGTGACACACAACTTGCATCTGTTACTTGACAAGTGCAACTAGGAACATGTACAAATCAGATGGCAATCCCTGACATGGGGTGCCTGTAACCATTCATAGGAGGTCTGCAGCACCAAGACACTGCTTTAGCAGAGCCAACAACTGACACCTACACAGTTCATAGTTTCCACACAAAGATGGAGCTGGTTTCTTCACCAGGATGCACAAGAGAACAGGACCAAGAGCAACAGCAGTTCCCCCTGAGCTGCTACAGAGCAAACTAGTTTCAGATAAAAGAAGAAATTATTTACTGTAAAAAGAATTAAACAGAGAAGCCCAAAGTAATAGCTCCCTTTGCTGGAAATAGTTAAGACTGATCTTACCAGGGCACTGAAATAACCCAATCCAAGGCCCTGCTTTCAGGAAGATGTTCAACCAGATGAAATCAAGAGCAGCCTTCCAACCTAGGCTTTCCTGTGATTCAGGTATCTTAACCCAGTGCTGGTGAGACTGGAGAACAGGATTGCAGTTCCTGGCTCTGCAGCAGCTACCCTGGGGCACCTGTGTCACTTCTCCATGTTTTTCTGAAGAGGGGTGCCACTGCAAAATCTATTTTTCACAGCACTAATAGGCTAAATTACAATCTGTAAAATAATTTTAAAGTGCACCCAGCACAAGACACTACTGCTGCTGGTCTGAGTGGGTCAGGTGCTTATAATTTTGCCAGCAGCCAAAAGTAACCAAGAGCACAGCTTCACTCATTAGGACAAAGGCTGATTTTGCTTATCCAGTAGTGCAGTTCTAGTAGACATGGCTCTTGCACACAAATGTAACAGTGTGAAACACAAGACAAAATTGCTCATTTTATAGGCTAGAGGTTGAACACTATTTAAAAGGTGGGGGAAATAGCATGGGAGGGCTGTGGGACACGTGAAAGAAGAGATATATAATATGTGTTCCCTGAATCATTAGCTTGGCTTTTTTAAAAGTAAAAATTTAAGGAATGAAAAAATAAGTATGTAAATGTTCTTACTAATGCAACTGGAGGACAGTAACTGTACACAAAGCAATGAAACTAACCACCCAGGAGGGCAGCATTATTTCAAGCAAGCTCTCCACTTTGAAATGCCTGTCTAGCAATAAGGGGATCTTTGCCACAATGAAGAAACATCCAAGTTCAGAATAGGCCAAGAGAAGACACCACCACTCCTCAACTGAAACAACACACACTGTCTGTGGCCTGAGTCAGTCTCTAGGTCCATCCACAAATCTTCAGTCTTCTGTGGCCACCAGGGAAATATTGATGAAAGGAAAGAACTGAACAATGTGTATTCTGTTCCAAAATACACACACAGTTGAATGTTCCAAAACCAGACAATCAGTACAACACAGATGGGTGCTAGTCACAAGGGAATCTCAAAGTAACAAGCCCTTATTTTCCTGCAGTACTCAACACAGCATGGATGCTTGTCTACTTGTTTAATTACAACTTAATGCTGATACAGTTAAGTCTCAGGAAGAGTTATTATGCATTTTTTCCTGAGTTTCACCATTGTTAAAAAATGTCAAAGAGTTTTAACATCTGATACACATAACATTGTCTTCTATTTTACCTCAAAATAAATACTTGATTAAAATGTAACTTAAAGCAGGACATTATTAGTATTCTAGAGTGTTTTTCTTTTTCTCATTTCACTATTAGCAACAGAACTGGATTTCTAAACAAAGCACTCTATTTACAAGAGATTTTTAAACATTTAAAAGCCTAAGTAAAGCAACAATCATGCTTTCATGAATCACATGTTGTGCAGGTATACATTTTTTCATGTGTTTTTTTCTGAGCACTTTTAACAACAAAAAATGTTGAAAAATCCCTACTTCAAATGACTTGCACAGTTCTCTACTTGAATAGATCTCAACAGCTTTTCCACGTTACAGATGGATTTGGTGCTGTTTGACTTACTGTGCAAATGTATAGCTCATGGTGAGATTCTCTGAGGGTGCAGTAACAATTCAAAACCATTGTGAAAAAATGGCATTTGGAAACCACCAAAACAAATCTAAAACCTGAATCCCTCTTAACTTGTCTAAAGAGGTGGACCAAAAAAAGTCTGTAAAGTTGATAATTTAAAGTTGAGAGACCTAGCTCATATTTTCCTCACATTACTTAAACAAATAAAACTGACACAATTAAAAGCAGCCAGAGTTTCAAGTCAGTGAACCATTTCTACAGCCCTGAATGGGATATATGGGCACACTGCCAACAAACAAAGAGGAAAAACTTAAAAGCAACATGCTTTTCCTCTTTTCTCTCTTTCAGCTGTCAAAGACTTTATTGTTATTTTTACCAGCAGTCAATACAGTGGTTTCAGACTGGAGGGGTTTTTTCCTCTTTTTAAATTTGACAATTCAACAGGACCATTTATGGTGGGGTTTTTTTGTGTTTGTTTTTTTTTTAAATAGATATTCTAATATAAAATCTCATCTATCTCTGTTACAAGCAATGGCTTGATTCAAAATGTGGCAATCTTGCAGTAGTATTGGTAAGGACAAATATGAATGGAAAACCCCATGATCACAAGTTCATGGAAAGCATTTCCTAGTACAAGTCAAAAATCAAAACTTAACAAGTATAAACTGTATTAGCAAAATGGTCCCCAAAGAAACACACCAACTCCTGGGCAGTGTCAGGGAGTGCTTACAGCTTTCACCAGGCCCTACAAAAGAAAGGAAGTTTGGAATTAAGGATCATTACAGGGGCCCTGATCGCCTCAGATATGTGTGCATTACTTTTAATAAGTGTGGGGAGTAAGTGCCTCATCACAACTTTGCCATTTCTCATCAGGGCTGTGAATAACTGCTGTTGCAGACATTAAATCCTTTAGAGGGACCAGGGGAAAAGTTATTTGGTGGCATTCTGCTTACCTCATTTATTTTCTGTATCTCTCATTTCTGACCCTTTTTATCTAGTGATTGATTGATTGCTTAGTACAATGACCAGACGCCACCAGTATGCTGAGTTTCCCAAAGTAAGAAAACTGTTTTCCCTCCAAAATTATCTACAATTAAATCCAGACATGAAGGAAAGCATATTCTAAAGCCCGACCACAATAAAGATTGTAAGAAAATCTCTCCAAAACAACCTTGTAGAGTTCCATCAAGAGCCAGCAACCTTTGAGTAAAGCAAGGGTACACAGTGAGAGGACTCAGAAGTAAAACAATTTACACTGAATGCATACTAGTGCCCTTCCCTGTGTTAGGTCAAAACCCACGCAGAATACTATCAGTTGCATGATACCTGCTATGAGGACTTTTGCTGTCGACCAAAAATTCATTATAGGAGGTTTGTGAAGACATGTATTTTTGCAGGCAGAATGCTAAAGCATACACAAAAAAATTCACTACCCTGAACAACAGCCCCTCCAAGGGCAATGTGCAGCTCTGCTGCACTAATACAGGATTTGAAGATTGGGCACTTGCAAAATACCTCAACACTGCTCTTCTGACCCTCAAGGGCTTGTTCCTGCTCCTACAGGCTTATCTTGCACCAAATCTGGCACTTCTTTTGGTCCTTCTCATAAGCCAATTTAACTCGCTAATCTGACAGGAAACAAACTCACTTTAAAAAGAAGGGGGGAGGATAAGAGGAAGAGGAAACAGAGATAGATTTTTGTTTTTCCAGTGAGCTAAATCTATTCACAGAGAAGTGCAACAAGCTCTAGGACATACACAGTGAAAACAGCAACTTTTCGAGATGAGATTGTGCTCCTTAATATTTTATGTAAAAAAGCAAACTCTAAGGCATTAGACATTTTTTTCAAAGCTTAACATAACACAGAGTTACTTTCAAAAAGCT